TTCTGAGAACTGCACAGTGGTCTGAGGCTCTTCTTGCCTCGTTTCCTCCCTCTCCCATAGGAACTACCCTGTGTGGTGGCTGGTGGTTCCCCAGCTTCCTCTAGTTCCCTCTCCATTCTTCCCTTACAGCATCTTCCCCTGTGTGTCAGTCTCCAAGACCATCCCCGGTTCATTGATTCACTAGGAAGAACTCACAGGGCTCAGCCTATAGTCGTACTCGCAGTGATGATTTATTACAGTCAAACGACACAAAGGACCATCAGCAAAGGGAAAAGGCACATGGGATGAAATCCGGGGGAAGCCAGGGAAAAGCTTCCACTCTCCCAGTGGAGTCACACAGGACACATTTAATTCCCCCAGCAAGGAGTTGTGAAGACATGTGTGATGTGTTATCTACTAAGAAAGTTACTAGGGTAACTCAGTACCCAGAGTTTTCACTTGGGGCTGATCACATAGGCACCCTCATCCTGGTATGTACATGTTATGGGCTGAACGTTTATGTCTACCCAAAAATCACATGTTGAAATCTAATCCCAATGTGATGGTATTAGGAGATGGGTGTCTTTGGGAGGTGATTGGGTCATGAGGGTGGAGCCCTGAATTGGGTCATATAAGCCCGTATAAGAAGAGACTAGGGGCCGGCCCGGTGGCACACTCGGTAGAGTGTGGCGCTTGGGAGCGCGGCAGCGCTCCTGCCGAGGGTTCGGATCCCATATAGAGACCAGTCTGCTCNGGCAGTGGAGGAGAGGGGCCCACCAGGAGAACACTGGGACACAGCAAGGACAGCTGACTGGAACCCCTATCAGCGAAGGACCACTCAGAGGAGACAGGTCAGGAATATAGAATTGCATGGGGTACAGTTTGATGAAAAGACTCAGACCCAGACCAGTGTTTCTGTACAACCCAGGTGCATCAGATTTCACCAGATCCAGAAGTACCTATAAAGTCAACTATTAAAACTTGAGCTGCACAAAAAGCCTTCCCTAGGGAATCAGCAGCAAAGCAGCAATTTAGCTCAATCATAGAGTTCAAGTGCTGGTCCCCACAGGAAGTTCCCCCATTTCAGAAGAAGCAAAGGACAACAAATTAGTTCCAGTGCAGATTTTAAGTGGTGGGAACAGCAAATAATCCAACACAGAACTGAAAGAAAAAACAAAGTACCCACAACCAGAGACAAAGTTTGATATTAACTAGTAAAGGTCTCATTTCACCAAAGAACACCTATAACACCTAGAAAGGCCAGACTACCAAGCCAGGAAGCGGGGAGGGCCGGGGGCCTCAACCCTGTCCCCCTGACACCCACAACCTACCCCAAGGATGGGGGCCAAGGGCCTCAGTGCTGACCCTGACAGTGCAACCACCCCAGCGATGAACATCTAGCATCTGCAGGAAAAGCCCTGGGCTCTCACGAGCCAGGGTGGTAGGGTGCCGAGGGTCTCGACCACTCTGCCCCAGGCTCGACCAGCTCAGTGACGACCAGCAAGCCTCAGCAAGAAGAGCCGCGGGTTCCTGAGCTGGGGTGGTGGGGGGCGAGGGCTATTGCCACACCCCCTTGACATCTGCACCCAGCCTGGCAATAACAAAGCCACTGCTGGTAGCCCACGGGTGTCCCCTGTGGGAATGTGGGGGTTGCCACAGGCCACAATCCCATTCCTCCTCCTTCCTCCTTCTTCCATCCCATTTCCTTCCCCTTTCCCCTTCTCCCTCCCAACTGCTCTACAACAAAATCGTAGAATGTAAAAAGATAATATTAATAAAATTTTAAAAATAAATAAGTAATAAAAAAAGAAACTAGACCCCAACTCATAGTCCAGAAATAAATATATATATATATATATATATTTAAAAAAAAAAAAAAAAAGCAGAAAGTAGCTCACTCTTTTTCCTCTGTATGAGAACACAACAAGAAGGTGGCCATCTGTAAGCCAGAAGAGGGTCCTCACCAAAACCCGACCATGCTGGCACCCGGATCTCAGACTTCCATCCTCCAGAACTGTGATACATAAATTTCTGTTGTTTATAAGCCACCCAGTCTATGGTATTTTGTTATAGCAGCCCAAACAGATTAAGACAGTACCCAAATTCCAGACTCCCAGAAGGAAAGCAGGTGTTCAGCATAAACCCTATTTTTTTTTACAAACAGTTTAGGCACAGTGAGCCACTCTTATCAGCTCTGGGAACCCTACATTGCAGGAAAAGATTGACTCAGCAGAGTTGGATTGTCCAAACCCTGAACATTCCAAAGAAAGGTCTGGACCTTGACTGGCTCCTGGGAGATAACCTCTTAGCCCCTGGAACATCCTGCTTGATAAGAGTGTCTTTGTTTACCCAGGGCCTCAGGCATGCCAGATATTCTGTGCTAACAATGTAATTTGGGGTGGGGGGTGCTCCAGTCACACAGTATCAGCTTAGCCTCTGAAGCAGCTGGCCACTGAGCAACTAAAGTGAATCACATGGGTGTTACACGTCTACACGATCAACTCCCAGTAAAAACCCTCGACACTAAAGCTAAGGGGAGCTTCCCTGGATGGCAATACTTCATCTGTGCTGTCACACTTCAATTCTGGAGGTAAGTTCTGTATGCATGACTCCACTGGGAGAGAACAACTGGAAGATCATACCTGGCCTCTCCTGGACTCTGCCCCATGAACCTTTTACCATTACTGATTTAATCTACATACTTTCATTGTAATAAACCACAGCTGTGGGTATAACAGCTTTGCTGAGTTCTGTGAGTACTTCTAGCCAATCATTGTACCTGAGGGTGGCCTTGGGGTCACCCAACAATACCTCTGAAATTAAGGTTCCCAAATGCCAGCCAAGGGCCAACCTTGCAAGTAAGCCTTTGTACACATGGCAGCCTCAGACCTGACATGTTGTTTTTCTGTTTGTTTGTTTGTTTTCCTGGCCACTGGTGGAACAGGGATCCGAAAGCTTGACCTGGTGTTATCAGCACCACACTCTAATAAGTGAACCAACCAACAGGCCCTAATTCCTAATTTCTGTACAGACAATAAATGTCTTACACATCTAATTCCATCTTGATACCTGCTTCTTGTGTGAGCAAAGCTAATGGAGAAGAAGTTAGTGTTCCTGTAAAAGCAGGAATCAGGAAACATTTTCTTTTTTTTTTTTTTTTTTTTTTTTTTTTTTTTGG